CACCCCGAGGCTTCACCTGCCGCCGCCCGCGGAAGCATCCTTCCGGCCTCTGCCCCCCGGAGCCCACACCCTGCCACGCTGTGCTGGCCACGAGCTTCGCTGCTCCCCGATTTCCCCTCCCTTCGCATGGGCCCGGCCCGAGAACTCATTCAAGCTCTGTCCTGGCCGTTTCCCAACTCAGCCGCATCTGACCTCATTCCCCTAATGTTCCGGGGCCGCCCCTGCATCGCCCGGGCTCCGTGCCCCCATCCAACCCCAGTGGCCCGCGGCCGGCCACTCTCCACCCTCCTGCGGGGCTGTGCCTCCCTCTTCCACTTGGGCCCGCGACCCCAGGACCCAGGACCCAGTCACGGCCACTCGGGGACCCCAACCTCGGCTCTCCACCACTTGTTTACTGGGCACTGAGCTCGCTGTGTCCCCGGCGCAGGAGCAGGCCCCCGAGGCCGCGGCCCGCCATGCAGAAGCACTACACTGCCCACTCCGTCAAGGGTGCCCGGACCCTTGCCGAACGCTGCTGCCTGGATCCAGAGTTAGGGCACAAAAAAGGTAAGGACTGGGGGTGGGGTCATTCGGGAGAGAGGACGCGCGAGCTGCACTGAGTGGATGTCACCAGCACCCTTTGGAGAAGCCTTTGTCATTTGGGGGTGATTTTATTTATTTATTTATTTTTTGGTTGATTGATTAGTGATTAAACCCCGGGCCTTCACACTGAGCTGCAGCCCCAGCTTTTTCTTTTTGACTTTAAGGCGCTCATTAAGTCACTAAATTGCCCAGCCTGAGCTTGAATCTGTGACCTCCCAGAGACCTGGGATAACAGACATATACCACCACAGCCACCTTGAACCATCTTGTTTCTTTTGTTTTGTGTTTGAGATGGAGTCTGGCTATGTTGCCCAGGCTGGCCTCAAACTCTTGAGCTCGAGTATCCTCCTGCCTCAGCCTCCCAAGTGCTAGGACTACAGGAGTTTATCCCCATGGCTGGCTGGTAGCCCTGTCTGTAGAACTCTGATGTGGTGAGGCCCAGTAGGTGAGCACAAGACCTGGGGTCCAAGGCAGAAGGCTGCTCCTGGGATGGGTCAGCCATCTGGCCTCTTTAGGGAATGGTGCCCCACCTGGGGGAGCCCCCATCGAGTGCCCACATGAGGCAGGGGCAGTTATCTCCCACTAGGGCTGGTTGGCCTCCCTGGTCAGCCAGGCCTGAGCCTGGGGACAAGGCCACCCCTCCTTCCCTGCTCCTGGCCATCCCCACCAGTCACTCTGGCTGCTCTGGACCAGCCACATCACTTCCTGGGGATTATTCTCAACACCCCTCCCGCAACCTCTCAGTGGAGGACCAGCCACGGACCCAGGAACTGGAACTCAGAGTAGCAGGGATTCGGGTGGCACAGCCTGGCTGAAACCCGGGCCCGGCTCCCCTTTTCTCCTCCCATCTGGGGAAACCCACCCTGTGTCCCCCTGACACTGCAGGGCTTCTGCAAATGCTCCAGCCCAGCCTCCAGCTGGACACTCCTGGTTTGTGTCCAGGGTCAGGGACCCAGGCCCAGTCGCCCCCGCTTCCTTCCTTCTAGGATGCTGTCACCACTGGCACCAGGACCCAGCGGCCCCTCGAGCCCATGGGCCCTGTCGGCCATCCCCCCAGTCACACTGGCAACAGGCCTACTACAGCCACCGGGGGTGTGGCAGTGGCTGGTACCGGGGCCCCAAGGCCCCTGTCCTACAGCAGCAGAAGCAGCGGCAGCCCCAGCCCCCAACTCCCAGCCCCACATGGCAGCGGCTCAACCTGGTCCACAGGGCCCAGAAGGGGCCGCCTGAAACTGTCGCTG